GTGTGTGTGTGTGTGTGTGTGTGTTGGTGGGTCATATCAAAAGGGCGTTTATGTGTGCATAGTTGTGTGTGTGTGTTATATAAGAGAGAGGGTCAGTTATTAAGTTATCAAAGGACATATTTATGTGTGTCAGTTGTTTTTAGCAAAGGGGACATTTACGTTTGTCTGTTGGTTACATCAAGGGAGGCATCTATGAATGTGTTCGTTATATCAAAGGGGACATTTTTGTGTGACTGTTGGACATGTCAATGGGGACACCTCTCGCTGTGTTAGTTGTATCAAAGCTTAGAAAACTCACCATGGTGTTAATAAAATTATGGCGGACCTTGTAAATAGTTGCCATTCTTTGTTTCTTGTTCATATTATATTATTTGGTTTGGATGGTCAGGATATCAAAGATTTGCATAAATCAAATTCAGAGTACGCATTACTCCCAAAATAGTCTTGCTACTAATGTTTAGTTTTTATAGTTTTAGTAAGAGTTTTACGGCACTTACAACTCAATAAGTCATATAAGTGCAGAAGATTAAAGGTGTTACAAAAGAGTAACAAACATAAAAAAGAAAGAGGGGGGGATAAAGACGATAGATGTTTGATAGGAAAGAAGAAGCAAACCACACCAGGGCACCCGCCAACCACCCACCAACTGAGGTTTGAAAAGCTACTCTATGCCAACCTTGTAAAGCTACTGTGCCACTTTTCTTTTCTGGCGCTAACCTCTTTTTGATGTAAGTGTATTTACGCCCACATCGACACTATTTAGATCATTTTGGGAGCGGGCTTCCGACCCAGCCTATCAGGGCCATCCCGGGCTGAGGGGAATACAACGTCCCTGCAGAAAGACATAGATATTCGATAAGAATTCTCCCCACTCGGGGATCAAACATGGGTCTCCTGCGCTAGGCAGGAAGCACCTAGAATCTACACCATAGGCGCCGGTGCTAAACTTCTAACCGCCGATGACCGAGCCTAACCGTGTATGTGTGTGAACAATGATTTTATCAAAATGTGTGAGGGGGTCATAATAAAATGTATTCTTTTTATCTACTTGAATTGCTAAAATGTTTTTATGTGTGTTGAGTGTTCTTTTTATAAATCTATAAATAACAGTTTGGCCAGTTGTAATAAGGGTTGTGAATAACATGATTTAAGAACAAAAAGGAATTGTTTGACTTTGATTTGGCGGATACACGTTTGGCGTAGGACACCAACGTAATGCTTTATTTTTTCTGAACTATTTTCAGGCCCGTGTCCTTGAGCAAGTTCATGGAACATGTGGAGATGATGCATAAAGATTCCAACCTTCTCTTTTCAGAGGAATACAAGGTGGGTGTGTATGTGTGTGTGTGTATATCTACATATATATATA